ATTGAAAAGTTACAGAAAAGCCAAGCAATTGGTTGCATTGTAAAGATAGAAGAACTGAACGCGATGAATTGATGATAGAAGCCTCAAATCCATTACTCAAAACTGTGGAAAGGTACACATGGTACTGAAATCATTATATGGATATTGTTTTGGTGTAAATAGCTGCATGGTTTCAGTATCCAAACTTAGTAAATAGCTTACTAAAAGTTTTTCATTCTTGTAACTGCTCACATGCATGTGACTTGGCAATGTAAAGCCGTTGCTTCCATTTTTAGTAATAATAACTACTACTACTATTTTGTCTCACATAGTTCTAGACAGCCCCCAATTATAAAGCAAAAAATGTTTTGTCTGCTTACCTAGGATTATGCTTGGGATATGATTTTCAGTTTGGTCAATATTTAACCGGGGAGAAGTTCTTGCCAGATAATTTATTCAACTAGATTTTCTTGTCGTATTGAGATTGACAAACATAATTTTAATTAACAGGAAATTATAGAAGGAATAGTGCAGGAGAGGTGTACTTGTGCAAATGAGCTTCTTGGTAAACACAACATATATAGTAGATAAAGATGAGTTTATTAGGGGTGGTCGTCTAAGAGGTGAATGGAGGGGGAGTGGGGTCGGGTGGGATGAATGCTATATACTCCATATAAAATACCGCACACCTAGTTTTTAGTATTTGCAATTCGTTTATTATTTTGAGACTTTGGATAGGTCCATATAGTGATTTTGGATTTATTGTGCGCCGTAGGAGGGCTTCCTTGGGTTTTATGCGTGTGCCGCACCTGCATATCCCTGGGGCAAAATTTCAGCTTAGTATATATAGCTCCATTTCGAGATTTTGTTTGTAGTATACTAGCAGTACGGGACCAAGTTCACCCTGTCAAAGCAATACAGTGGACTCAGTTGCTTTGACATTATTGTGTCAGAGAGCTTTCTTTGCTCCCCAACTTGTAGCAGCACAAAGATAGGAGAAGGTTGATTGGATTTAACTGCACATTCCTTGTGTAGCTCATAGTTTTAAGTTCATAACNAAGGGGGAGGGAGAGTGGGGGTCGGGTCGGATGAATGCTATATACTCCATATAACATCCCGACCCCTCGTTTTTAGTATTTGCGATTTGTTTCTTATTTTGAGACCTTGGATAGGTCTGTATAGTGATTTTGGATTTGCTGTGCGCCGTACAGGGGCTTCCTTGGGTTTCATGCGTGTGCCGCACCTGCATATCCCCTGGGGCAAAATTTCAGCTTAGTATATATAGCTCCATTTCGAGATTTTGTTTGTAGTATACTAGCAATACAGGACCAAGTTCACCATATCAAAGCAATATAGTGGACTCAGTTGCTTTGACATTATAGGAGCAGCACAAAGATAGGAGAAGGTTGATTGGATTTAACTACACATTTCTTGTGTGGCTCATAGTTTTAAGTTCATAACTATGTACTCTATATAGACTCATGTGTTTTCTTTTAATATTTCATTTTAAAAATAACTTATTGCTTTGGACAGAAAGAGACGAAGCTAGCGGTTACAACAGCTAAGACTACTGCCTTAGGACGCATGTATGCGGAACTTGGGAGCAAAGGCGGGGACAAGAAGTTGTACAGGTAAGCCAAAGTGAGGGAGAGGAAGGCTCGTGACTTGGACCAAGTGAGGTGCATCAAATATGAGAACGACATAATATTGATGGAAGATGCTCATATTAGGCGAAGATAGCAGCATACTTCCACAGACTGTTGAACGAGGAGGGGGACAGAAGCATTATGCTGGGTGAGTTGGAGCACTCCGAGAGTCGACGTAATTTTGGCTATTGTAGGCGTAATAAGGTCGAAGAGGTTATGGGAGCGATGCGTAAGATGAGCAGGGGTAGAGTGACTGGCCCAGATGAGATCCCGGTAGAAATCTGGAAGAGTGTAGGCCGTGCAGGCGTGAGTGGCTTACTGGGTTGTTTAATGTTATTTTAAGATGGAGAAGATGCCCGAAGAATGGAGGTGGAGTACGTTGATTCCGTTGTACAAGAACAAGGATGATATCCAAAACTGCAATAACTATAGGGGTATCAAGCTACTGAGTCATACTATGAAAATTTGGGAAAGGGTGGTGGAAGTCAGGGTGAGTAGGAGTGTGTCTATTTTCGAGAATCAGTTTGGATTCATGCCAAGGCGATCAACTATGGAAGCCATTCATCTGGTGAGGAGATTGGTAGAGCAGTATAAGGAGAGAAAGAAGGACTTACACATGGTGTTATAGACCTAGAAAAGGCGTACGATAAAGTCCCGAGAGGTTTTGTGGAGATGTTTGGAGGTTAGCGGCGTTCCGGTAGCATACACTAGGGTGATCAAAGACATGTATGATGGTGCTAAGACTCGGGTAAGGACAATGAGAGGTGACTCGGATCACTTCCCAGTAGTGATGGGTTGCACCAGGGATTGTCTCTTAGCCCATTCCTATTTGCTTTGGCGATAGATGTGGTGACACGACAGATTCAAGGGGAGGTGCCATGGTGCATGTTATTTGCCGATGACATAGTGTTGATTAAAGAGACGTGAGGCGGGGTTAACGCGAGGCTGGAGGCCTGAAGACAGACCCTAGAGTCTAAAGGTTTCAAGTTGAGTAGGATCAAAACAGAATACTTAGAGTGTAAGTTCAGTGACAAGACTCATGAAGTGGACGTGGATGTGAAACTTGATACCCAAATCATCCGACAAGGGGTAGTTTCAAGTATCTCGGGTCTATAATCCAAGGTAACAGGGAGATTGATGATGAGGTCTCCCACTGTATTGGTACAGAGCGGATAAAATAGAGGCTTGCATCCAGTGTTTTGTGTGATAAGAAGGTGCCACCAAGACTTAAGTCTTAAGGGTAAGTTCTACAAAGTATTGGTTAGACTTACTATGTTGTATGGTGCTAAGTGTTGACCAGTCAAGAACTTCCATGTTCAGAGGATGAAAGTAGCAGAAATGAGAATGCTGAGATGGATGCGTGCGCATATCAGGAGAGATAAGATTATGAATGAAATTATTCGGGATAAAGTGAGAGTGGCCCCCGTGGAGGACAAGATGCGAGAGTTGAGGCTGAGATGGTTCAGACACGTGCAGATGAGGAGTACAAATGCTCCTGTTAGGAGGTGCGAGAGGCTGGCCATGGCGGGTCTGAGAAGAGGTAGAAGTAGGCCAAAGAAGTATCGAGGAGAGTTGATTAGGCAGGACATATCGCTACTTATGAGGATATGACCCAGGATAGAAGGGTGTGGAAGTCGAGGATTAGGGTAGAAGGCTAATAGCTAGTCAAGAGTTACCCGTTCTTTTCTAGTAGTATTAGTAGCGCTCTTGTTTTTTTCGTATTCTTTGACCTCCCGTATTTGCCTATTGTTTCGTTTGCTCCATGTGTCATATTTTCCTGTTTGTTACTATTTGATGCTACGTTTTCTTTTACTTGTTGTTGTTGTTGTTGTCTTTTTCTCCCTTTTCCTTATCGTCCTTTGTCTCCCTCTTTTTTCACTTTTTCTTGAGCCAAGAGTTTATCGGAAACAGCCTCTCTACCTCACCAGGTAGGGGTAAGGTTTGCATACACACTACCCTCCCCAGACCCCACTTGTGGGACTACACTGGGTATGTTGTTGTTGCTGCTTTGGCTACAATATCTTTTCAATCTTGAGACAATGATACATGTACAGAGTAAATATGAGACATAGATGGACCCTTTTTGGTTGGTAGTAATGCAAGTTCATATTTCCGCGGCTGCAACTTTATTTTCTGCTTTTCCCAGAGTCCAATGTATTTGCAGTAGCAATTGCTGCTCACTAATATGTGCTTTATATAAACACAACTACAGTATGAGTAATTAATATGGGGTTTCTATAGGAACTAAGCCAATTGATATGGGAGTGAAAATAAGAACTACGGATATCTACTGAGGTAAATAATTTGCTGAAAGATTATAAGGGGGCAATGGAGTTGGTGAATACAATGGAACATAGTTAATAATTAGTTAATATTTGCTTCTACTTGGTGATATTCTTTGCTGTTGTCACAATAATAGTTGTTTATTGTGACCTCCATATCTGCCCTACCAAGTTGGATATGTCCTAGAGGTGCAACTAAATGTTAAATTATCTGAGTACTATTTAATGCATATTGCTATATGAATCTAATATTCAATCATTGATCACAAGTTTGTCATTTCTGTGGCTTCTTTTTTAACTGTCACATTTGTCATGGAGACAAATTATTCAAGCATTTACTCTTCTGCTCTTCAGTAATGAACGTTTGCTGTAGCAAACAAGTATATTAAACAGATTCCCTTGACAAAGCATCAGAAATTTTTATGTCTTCATTTGTTGTATGGGGTTAAGCTGGTTTTACTACTTATGTTCCCCGGAATATTGTTCAAGATTTTCTAACATAACTTCTGAGAACGACTGCTTCGTTAGCAGTTATGCAGATGAAGATGAATGCACATAATTAATAATTAATAGCACAGTTTTATTTTTGTATAGTAAATAAAACAATAAAATGCACATTCAAACAGTGAAAAAAGGTACTAGAATCTATTCTTTAATTCCTCTAACAAGGTCAAAAAGGTCTACTTATCCCTATCAACTCACTACATTTTGAGCTGCTACAATTATTTTTCTTGAGGGGGGTTGTACAACGAAAAATTTCCAGCAGATCATGCGATTGGTTTCATTCTAAATAAAAATGCACTGCACGCGGTGACACAAGCTTCAAATCCATGGTTATGATGTCCAAACGATTGATTACAAGTTTCTCATTCACTCTTCCGTTTCTGTAGTACAATCTGTTGTAGTACAAAATCTGTTGTTTCTTAATATTAGGGAATTGAGGATAGAGAGATGCTGAAAAGCAATGTATTGGCTTAAGAAACACTGATATTACAAGAAAATATATCCAAATGTTCTGGTAAGTTGGGACAGTGTAATCTATGAACTAGTAAACTTCTATCCTACATTATACTTGATGGTACAGATTGAAGAACTAGACTTGTAATCCTCCTTTATTAATTGCAGTGACATTCAAGTGAGAAGTGACACGTAGAAATGAAGTCTCACTGCATGGTATAGTAAGGCCCCCCATTGGATAATCGAATCTGTATTCCTCCTCTGCATGCCTCAACAAGTCTTGAAACAAAGGGTGCTTCAAACAAGAGATAGGAACCACAAATCGATGCTTATTATTATGGCTCTCTCCGACATAAACTGCCATGTGACCCCTGGGAACATCTGCTAATTTTGCTGAAGTGGTTGCAGTTGATCTTTGGTGGAGAAAAATGCTGTGTTTAGCATGATCAAAGATTGTCTTGAGATGAATCCTCATGTTGATGAACTTCTCTTCAAGTTTTAGCTGGTAAGAATGCAGCAAGTTATTGTATACAAGCTTTGAGTGATATGTAGTCTGAAGAGGCTTATGATTTCTGCAAATGAGTTCTCCATATATATAGGGATTGGTTGGAGGAGTTACTTATTTATTTTTAGTAGTAACCAAATAGCGTGGGACCAAAATTCACTCTCACAAAGCATCCCCAACTTGATGTTGTAAGATAGTAGAATTTTCTTTTGATTTGATAATACATATATTGCCTAGCACATAGTTTCCTGCTCAAAACCGCGTACCTCTATGTAGACTCAGTTGTTTCGTCGATTATTTGTTTTTCTTTTTGATAATAAAAATTTATGGTTTTTGCTACTCTTATCTTTTCAGATTTTAGATTGAAGATAGATTTAATCACGAGGCATGTTTGGGGCCTTTGTTGTTTAGTTGTAGTACTTGAATGCAACCATTTTCTCCCAGCTGCTTCTATATGAATAATATGAGGTTTTGATAGTTATCAAAAGGTTTTGAGAATACTTAGAAATCAACCATTTGAGTTAGTTGACTGCAATCCTAACCTTCCACGGCATTTTTAAGTAAATTGCACATTAGTGTCTTGGTCCTGGGACCAAGCATAGCTCACCGCGTAGAAATATTAAATTATATTGTTTTCATTTACAGTAAATGTAGTAAAAAGGCAGGATTTACAATGAGAAAGCAATATTGTTGCGGAAGCCAAATATATATAGTGTGAATAAGTCACAACTGCTATACCAAAAATTTATGACAGCCACCAAATAATAAATAAGACAATAAAGCAACAATAAAGGAACACCAGAATTTACGAGGTTCGGTTAATTTTGCCTACANTGCCTTAAACAGATGAGAAGGCAAATGAGATGTGTGTTTAAATCCTAAACATTAAGCCTTCTTTTATAGGGGAAAAATCCCCCCAACTCTTCTTTTCCCACCTGTCACACCTCCTTTTTCGCCCGGCCCGCCTCAAAGGGGCGCGGAAGGGAGTTTTTTCCAATTAAAGGACAATCGAAACGGGATTTAT